AAAAACAATCTTGCCTTCCCCTGTTAAAATTGTTTGATATATTCAGACTGCTCTGTTTACCAAAGGAAAATAAGAAGTCTGATTAACAGCACGATTATTTGTAGCCCGTTCTGAAAATTGTGAGGCTACAAAACATGATGGGATACCTAAACTGAAGAAAATATAAATAAAATGCCATTTTGTATTTCTGCATGAAATGTTTTGGGGTCATTACCAGCTCTTACGTCTTCCCGTTGGTTGGTGTACACACAGGCAGAGACTGTACTGTCCCCATTCTGTACACCTTGTTGCAGGGGCTTTTTTTTTCACTGAAATTATACAATGACAATACTAAACAAAGCCAGGGGGAATGTTTAGTGTACTGCTTTGTCCAAGCAGCGGAGACTACAGACCACAAGTACTTTATGGAGTTAAGGACGTCTTGTACAGCTCATTTATTCTAACATCAAGCTCTAGTTTTGATAAGGCTGCCACTTAAACCTTCCCTCATGTGAACAAACCAAAGTGGTTTTTGCAGACATGTTCTTGCTCTCCCTTGCCTGAAAATACTTCATGCATATTTTTTTATCCAAGACTTCAGTTTGCCTAGTATCTGCTGCATATTCCACCCAGTACTTCGCCAACACCAAAACTTTCACACACTTGATTTATCTACTATCCCCTAGGATCAGAGAAAGCCTAAGGTCAGTGGCATTTGACAATGCTAACCCTGTTAGCCCACCCCTTAAGTCCACTCTATTTTCCCAAACTTCTTTTAAATCTATTGTTGCAGAGGTCAAAATGCGGATTATGAACCAGTGTGGTGGTACACACCTGTAATCCCAGCATTTGGGAAGCTAAAGCAAGAGACTGAGAGTTTGAGGCCAGCCTGGGCTACCTAGCTAGTCCCTGTCTCAGAGCAGGGGAGGATTAGTCAGAGGGAGGGAAGCCTCGCTCCTCTAGTCTTGCCCCAGTCTCCCCTACACCCTGTGTCTAGCTGTCTCAGCAGTGTACCATGCTGTGTTGGACGTCTGCTTTCATTCACTCATGCTTTCTTTCCTCTCTTCTGGCTTTTCTACCTTATCTGATTATACAAACTTCAGGATTCTGCCTAAATCTGGGCGTGACTCAGTGGTGCAGCATTTGCCTAGCATGTGCAAGGCCCTGGGTTCAATGCTCAGCACTATTCAGACACTTTTTTTTTTTTTTTTTTGGTACTGGGGATCAAACTCAGGATCTTGCACTTTCTGGGCAGGCTCTTGTGCTGCTGAGCTACCTCCCCAGCCCCAGTGCTCAGCACTGAAAGAAAAAAAAAATTCAGCACATGTGCTACCATGCCTATGAATATAGAGGTAGTTTAACATAATGATTAAAAAGCTGAGCGTGGTGGCTCAGGTGCATGCTTGTAATCTTAGCATTCAGGAGGCTGAGGCAGGAGGATCATTGAGTTTTTGAGGCCAGCCTGGACTACATAGTAAGTTCAAGGCCACCCTGAACTACATAGCAAGACCCTGTCTCAAAACAAAGCAAAACATTTACAAATAGAGACCTTGAAGTCATACAGCTTGCTTGGAAATCCTGTCCCCCAACCCCCTTTTTGGCACTGGGAATCAAATCCAGAGCCAGGCTCATGCTATGTGAGTGTTCTAGGCAAGTGAGCTACGTCCCCAGCCCTCTGTATATTTTTTAACAGGTAGGCAATTTATTTAACTCTCCGTTGTATGACAGAAGGGAGATGGCTCCATAGACTGAGGAATATCCTATTGGTATCAGAACAGTCTAGAACCCAGGCTTCCTGCCCACCACTATATTTTGTATTCATGTTTTTAAACTTAAACTTTGTGAGTGTTTTTCAACTACAGATTCCTAGGTTTTACAGGTTAAATGGGTGTACTGTTTTAAAAATTTTTGTGTGCTTTTTTGAGATAGGGTCTCACTATATCATTCGGGTTGGCCTTGAACTCACTAGCCCAGGCTGGTCTCAAATTTATAGTAATCTTCCTGCCTCAGCCTCCCAAGTGCTAGGATTACAGGCATGCACCACCATACTCAGCCTTAAAATGTTTTGAAATCTAAAGCAAAGTCAAGAACACAATCAAATTTTAAATAAGATATACAAACATTTCTTACCTGTCTGAGGTATATGCAGTGAACCAGAATTTGAAAAAGAAAAAAAAAAAAATGAGTAGGGCTTGATATTCTTCACTGTATTTTTCCCCAGGTCTAACAGAGCTAGAGTTGGGCAGGAAGCACTAGGAAGAGGTACTGTCTTCCCCGCCCAGCATTTGTCTGCTTTCCCTTGTTAACGACTTCCATCTGGAAGTGCTGTGAAGGAAACACAGTATAAGACATGGCTCCCTCTGTATGGCTCAGGCAGCTTCTGTTTGCAGTCAATAGAGAAAAACACTCCATTAAAATAGGGCCTTTGAAAAGATATTTCTCCTCAGTAGTTTGATGATATTCCCAGCATGATGATGGTAGGAAACCTTCTGACCCACCCACCTTTTGTTTGTGCATCAAAGAAACAAGCCACTGTGCTAAAAGCAGCTGAGATGAGAACGATTTTATAACCCTCAAAACCTTGAATCAATAGAGCCATTAGTTTCTCACCGTGAAGTCCCATACTCAGCATTGCCGTTTTTTTTTTTTTTTTAGGAAAGTCAATGATAATTTTCAAATTCAGGAGTCAAAAATAAAAACAATATACTTGTACATATACAAAAGCTCTGAAAAGGACAGGACCCATCATGTACTCTTTCCTTATTTTGACTTTTTTGAGACAGGGTCTCACTATGCAGTTCAGGCTGGCCTTGGGCTCAGTTTGTAGTCCAGGCTGGTCTCATACTTGCAAAGATCCTCCTGCCTCAGCCTCCCGAATGCTGGGATTACAGATGTGCACCACCACACCCGGCTCCATCATCTGCTCTTGTACAAAAAACAAACACTGAATCCTCAGCAGTTTTATTTTTCACAGTTTTTCTGACAATAGCTGATTAAGTAGTGGGGGAGGGGGTTTGTTCACCAACCCCACATATGCAGGTGTTTGTTAAGGGATTCTTCATGCTAAATTAATATTTTTCTTTCTCTGACCTTCACCTGTTAGTTTCTGCGGCAATACATAATGAGATTCCATTCCCATTTATGTGACAGCCTCTAGAGTAATAGTGTGCCAACTCTATGCCAAGTGCTATGCTGGGCGTTACCTTTACTCCTTTCTAAAACTTTGCACGTCAAGTTCCTTACTGCTTGAAAAAATACTGACTTCCTATTAAGGGGTTAGGCTCTGTGTTAGGTGTCAGAGATCAAAAGGGGAACAAAAAAATGTATTCTTGCCCACAAGGAACTCTTCTAGTAGGTTCAGGGTCATCAAAGGCTGGAAGAGAGGGACAAGTCAAGGTTGAAGAAGCAGGCAGGATCCAAACCAGCCAGTCTTTTAGGTTATAAGGAATTAGATTTTATTGTAAGTCAAATGGAATCCAAAAGGGTTTCAGATTTTCTGAGTTAGTTTCATGTACACAGGGCAAAATTTAAAATGTGCCTAATCCCCTAGTTCACTACCGAGATACAACCATTGTTACCAATTTCTTGCAATCATTTCAGAGTCATCAAAGATTCTCTATGCATGGACAGTTTATATCATGCCCAAAAGCTTTATGTAGACACTGAGCCCTAGTTGGCCCATTCAATACATAAACACTTCACACTGTCTTAACAAAATCTTTGTAAACATCATTTAAATGTGTATTTGCCTAATGTGTTCAGAATTTACAACAGCCTTCTGGGGAACATTTTTGGTGGTTTTCATTCTTTTGTTATAATTTTATTTATTTATTTTTGGTGGTAACAGGAATTGAACTCATGACCTCGTGCTTGCCAGGCAGGCGCTATGCAGCTGAGCTAGGCCCTCTTTTGATATAATTTTAAAAGAAACACTGGCTTAAAGAAAAAAAAAATCCTATGGGGAAAAGCTTTTTTAGATCATACTAATTCTGTAGGACAGAATCTCAGACTTATAATTACTGGACTAACGGGTACTAGTTTTTAAAGCATTTGCTGCCTTCCAGGAAATTTCCAGTACATACTCTCCAGGATAATGTTAACTTGAAATATTACAGATCAGGGAGTGCTTTTTTATAGCCACAGAAAGGCCATCCTTTATTCTTTTCATGGTGAAGGGGATGGAACCCACACCCTCCTGCATGCTAAGCAACCACTTTACCACAGAGCTACCTGCCCCCTCATCTTTTAATTGCTCTTAGCTGGTATTTAACTCTTCCACTTAGGAAATCAATACCTTTGATGCATATACCTTTGCTCTGACCTCGGGCTTAATTAGCTTTCTGTATAAAATGTTGAATGTCACGCATGAATAGACACAACAGGAAGACTTGATCTCTGTACAGTGTGGGGAAAGCTTCCTGAAGAAAGCTGTTCAAAGTTGGAAGCTCCCCATTATTGGGGGTAGGAACTGAACAAAGGCTGGGCAATTACTTGACAGAATGTCTTTCTCTCATTCATCAAACCTTTAAAGAATACTTCTTCCCTCGGCCTTGAGCAAGGAACTGAAGACCCAGAGGTAAAAGAAATATTTTAGGGTGCTGCCCCCAAAGCTGAATTTCAAGACTAAGCCAACCGATCCAGTCCTGGGCTTCTTTGAATTCTTTGTTGTGCCTGGACCTTAACTTTAGGCTTTGGAGGGTAGAGCTGTGCGAACGAACGGCCGGAAACAGGAGAATAGCTTTTGTAGTGTTTCCATTAATGATTCCCACTTGTGAGTGCTGAATGCAAAGACGAATTTTTGCTGAAGGGATAGGCAACCCCACATGAGGAAATTAGGCCGGAAAAAAAATAATAATAACGTCTCCTAGCTTTTGTCAAGTTTAGTTCGTTTGGCGTATCCGAATCGTTGGTACCAGGGGCCCAAACCTTCACTTCTACCATAAGAATTAGCGCCAGCGAGCGAGCGGCCTGAGCCATTTCGTAGCCGGAACCTCTTGCACTGAGTTCCGGGTGGCACGCACCGGGAAGGATTTGGGCGCTGCACCGCCGCGCACGCCGTCCTTCAGCCGGGCGCCGGGAGGAGAAGGCTTCCCGCTGAGGCCCCTCCAGGTCGTGGTGGTTTTCCTCGTGCTTGGCGATCTGAGGCTAGGCCTCGAGTGGAAACGGTGCCAATATGATGACCGGACGGCCGGGCCGAGTGCCCTTAAAGTTGGTACCAGATGAGGCCCGGAGTCTGCCTCCGCCCAAACTGACCGACCCGCGGCTTCTCTACTTCGGCTTCCTAGGCTACTGCTCAGGCTTACTCGATAATGGGCTCCGGCGGAGGCCGCCGCTGACCGCGGGTGAGGGCCGCGCGCGCGGGAGCCGCGGGGAGGGGAGGGGATCGCAGGGCGGCGCGCTGGCTCGCCGGAGGCTCCCCGGACCCCCACCCCACCCCACCGGGTGCTTCTACTGCTCTGGGCCCTTCCGCCTCGCGGGTCGCCTCGGTTCCTCGCGCTGCCTGGCCCTCCCATCAGCCCTTAAGAATCGGGCAAAGCAAGGCTGTCGTTGTCCGCTTGAGGAAACGGGTGCTTGTATGTCGCAGAGCCTGTTTATAAATTAGACCTCAGAGTGTGCACTCGAAACCAGCACTTTGCAAACTTAACGTGCTTTGCAAACAGTGTGCATAAGAATAGCCGGCTGTGGGCTGAGGATTTCGCTCAGCGGCACAGCGCCTGCCTGGCAAGTGCAAGGTCGTGAGTTCGATTCCCGGTACCGGGAAAAAAAAAAAAAAAAAAGAATAGCCGGCCGAGGTGGCTTTCCCTGCTGTAATAATCCCAGCAATGGGAGGCTGAGACAGAAGGACCTAGTGTTAGAGTCCAGCCTGGGCTTCATATTGAGACCCCGTCTCAAAAGAATTATACACACACCTGAAATCTCATCACTAGGGAGGCTGAGGCAGGAAGATCACTGCAAGTTCAAGGCCAGCTTGAACTACATCGTGAGACCCTGTCTCAAAAAAACCAGACAGTAGTTATCATCATCCAGGGATCTTGTTAAAATGCAGATTCGGGTTTACAAGGGCTGGGGAAGGTCCTAATACTGTTTGGAGGCTCCCAGATTACTACTGCTGCTGGTCTGGGGACCACACTTTGATTAGGAAGCTTTCAACAACCAGTATGCTATATTTCCCAGTGATATGCCATTGGCCTCCTGTCAAAGACTGTCTTGATAATAGCTGCCACAGTAGTTGCGCTAAGAGGAATGGATTTCCAAAAGAAAAGACAAGAAGGTTTGAAGAGATGTCTTTGAACTTAGCTTTGGTTATCTGGCAGAACTTAGAAAAAGAGCTTTCTAAGCCTATGGAGTTAGTGGGAGCAAATAAAGTCAGGGCTTTCCAAATGGGGTACCCTTGACTGAGTGTACAGGATTGGGTAATAAGGCTGCAAAGATTAGATAGAGGATGGTGAATTCTCTAAGCAGGCAGAAACCTTACAAGCTTTTGGGAGCTGAGGGAGTGCTGTGATCAGACCTGTGTTTTTAAAGGTCAGCTTTGTCAGCAGTGTGAAACACTCATTGGAGCTGAGAAGCACAGCTAGGGAAAAGAAATAAATGGCACCGGCTACTGGAGATCATCCCACGTGTGCCTCTTGGGATGTCAGCTCCCAGACCATCAAATCCAAGCATTTCCAGTGTTCAAATAGTATTGAAACCCCGTCTCCCTTGGACTGACCCCTCAGTACAGAAGGTGTAAGCTTTGTCCATTTCTGCCTCTGAGAATATGGCGTTTTTCTCCCTTGTTAGCAGCACTCCACACTTGCCCAAGCCTGTCACTTGGTATAATGAGCTTCCCTTGGGAACTTCACTTTAGGCAAGTGAATTGGTGAGGCCATCCAGAGCCAGTGTCTTCATCTATAAAATGAGAGCAGTTCATACTCCGTGTTTGTTGTGAGAATTAAGTGAGGTTCTATAGGTAAAATGCCTGACATACAGAGGCACTGGATGAAGTTCCTTTCTCTTAGCTCTTATTCATGCATTTGTTCAACACTGAGCTTTTCTGTGTGCCGAGCACTGGATTATATACTGGCTATATGGGGTGAGGAATACCATCCCAGCCCTAAACAAGTAAATCCATTACTAACCTCCGTGTGATAGATAGGTACACGTTTTGATTAGAGGTGGGTGAACAGAGGGTGCTTTGGGAGCACAAAAAGAGATACAGATGGGAGGAAGAATGTTGCAGAGGAAGTAAGTCTAAAATATGGAGGTGTGTACTGCTTAATCTCACATTTTTGTCAGTGTAGCCTTTCCAGGAGACAGAAAAGCCAAGTAGCTAAGGGCTTGTGCTTTTGGATTTGATACTACCCTCGTCCTTGTAAGCCACTTGATTTTAAGTAAGTTTTCTAACTCAAAACCAGAGAAGATAATGTTTATAAAGCAAAGCCTAGTTTATAAAGCAAAAACTAGTTCCAAGTTCCTGAGTTTCCTGAACTTCCCTAAATCCTTTGGAAAATTTAGATGCTGAAGACTTTTGAAATCATTGTCTTTTTGGCATTTATTGAGTGCATGTGGCGTTTGTCTCGTTCAGTGTCTGGCATATAGTAGAATAGAATACAATAAAATAACTACTTATGAAATGAGTAAGTGTAGCTAGATTGCAAGAGAAGTGCAAAACACGGCCCTCCAGAGGCTTACAGTCCAGATGGCCGTACCAGTTAAGAACCAAATTATGGTACAAGTTTATGCTCCTAGGGTAGCGAATGTGACACATAAATGACGTTTGTAAGAGAGGTAAAGAAGTGAGGAAAGAGGAAGATGATGGATTTTCTGTCCTAGAGAGTATGAGCATTCTCTGGGTAATAATGGAATATTAGCCACTTGCCAGTCCAGTTACCTAAATACAGATGACCAAAAATTGCATATTTATATGTATTAAGTGCTATGTAAACATGAATCAAGTATTGGCTTTACCTAATGATAGAAACAAATGAATTACTGTAGTAACTTACATAGTAATTAAGGTGAATTCAGGTTGGGGATATAGCTCAACAGTGCAGCGCCTGCCTGAGTTTGATTCCCAGTACTCCGCTCCACCCCCCAAAAAAGATGAATTCATCCTTTTAACTCTAGGAAATGGGGATATTTCTTAGAGGAATTGATATCAGCTCAACTCTGAGTTGAGTCCTGAAGGATGATGTCCTCGCTGGGCACAGAAACAACAAGTTCGTGGTATTTTAAGCGTGAAAGTTTTATGTGAAGAATTCAGGGTTGTTGAGTATTGCTGGATGCAGTGTACATACCAGGAAGTGTCAGAAAGGGAAGGTAAGAGTTGGCTCACGAATGGCCGTATTCAGGAGTTGAACTCCTTTTTGACAACATTGAAGGGTACAAGGGACTACATGATAGGCTTGCATTTTAGTTAGATTCCTAGTGACAGAATACAAGCTAGGATCAGAGGGAATGACTGGTGTGACAGGGAGATCAGATAGTGCAAGTGAGAGAGCTCCCCTAAATCAAGGAGAGGAGATACTCACCAGGTAAGGTTGATAGGACTCCGTAACTAGATATGAGAGGAATTAGAATAAAGGATGATTAGCCAGGTGTAGTGGCATACACCTCGAATCCTAGTATTCTAGGAGACTGAGGCAGGAGGATTGCGAGTTAGACCCCAACCTGGACAATTTAGGGACTTCGTGAGACTCTGTCTCAAAATATAAAATGTAGAAGGGCTGGAGATGTAACTCAGTGCAAAGGCCCTGGGTTCAATTCCCAGAACCAGTACCACCATAAAAAAAAGTATGATCACTTGTTTGGTTTTTTTAGTATCAGGAATCGAACCTTGTGCTTGCCAGGCAGGTGCTTGTGCCTCTGAGCTATATCTCCAGCCGATGATCACTTTTTTGGTCATACGTGCCTGTAATTATAGTACTTTGGGAGGCTGAGGCAGGAGGATCACAAGTTCAAGCCCATCCTGGAAATTTAGTGAGATAGTGAGACCCTGTCTCAAAATTAAAATTTAGGGCTGGGCATATAGCTCAGTGGCACATGTGCCTGCCTAGCAAGTGCAAGGTCCTGAGTTCAATTCCCAGTACCAAAAATAAATTAATTAATTAATTAATTACATTTTAACAAAGGATTAAAATCAAATGTATGCAGGTCATGGTGGCACATGCCTGTTATCCCAGCATTCGGGAGACTGAAGCAGGAGGATCTTTGCAAGTTCAAGACCAGCCTGGGCTACAAAGTGAGCTCAAGCCCAGCCTGAACTGCAGAGCGAGACCCTGTCTCAAAAAGACAAAAATAAATAAATAAATAAACAAACAATAAAAATGAATGGAGACCCTGGGTTCCATTCCCTAGTGGGAGGAGGCAAAAATGATTACTGTGTTTATGACTTAGATTCCTTAGCAAATGATCTTGTCATTTTCTGAGATAGGAAAAAGGTATAATAAGGAAAGAAAGGTGTTGTGTTTAGAGAATCCGTGTTAATACGTCTGTCAAACATTCGGGGTATATGTGTTACTCAGCATAATTGTTCAGGTTGGACATACTTATGGATCATTAGCACATGAATAGTAAAGACTATAGCAGTAAATAAATTCCCCAAATGAACATGTGTGACAAGATGAGATGACTGCGGGAAGAATTCTGGGACATAGTTAGAAACTTCAACTTGCAGTAAAACTTTGTAAATACTTTCCATGTATCAGGTTCACACACATGAACTCACTTTCAGACTTTCAATTCTGACTCCCCAGGCCATGTGATTTGACCCAGTCTCATAGTAGGGTGACTTTTTCTTTCTGTCTTTCTTTATTTTTTTAAAGACAACTTGTTGCCCAGGCTGTCTTCAAACTCCTGGGCTCAAGCAACCGTCCTACATCAGCCTCCTGAGTAGGATTAGTATCACAGAATTCCATGCTGTTAGAAATGGGATGATTTTGTGTGTGTGTGTTTTTTAAAATTTTTATTGGTACATTTTGCATATACATAATGATAATATTCATCATAATTTGTACTTGCACATGGTGTATCTTGCTGCTGCTTTTTTTCCCATTCCCCACCCCTCTCTTTAACCTCTTTCCCCCTCCTTATGTATAAAAACTTTGTTTCCATTTTTTCTTGTCCCTTCTTTATTTTTTTTTAAATTTTAAAACTTTTTTGTCTTTTTGAGACAGGGTCTCAGTCTGCAGTTCAGGGTGGGCTTGAGCTCACTTTGTAGCCCAGGCTGGTCTCAAACTTGCAGTGATCCTCCTGCCTCAGCCTCCCAAGTACTGGGATTACAGGTGTGTGCCACCATGCCCAGGCTGTTTTTTTTTTTGAGGCAGGGTCTCACTATGGGTCCTAGGCTGGATTTAAAATCACACTACTACCTTATCCTACCGAGTGCTAGGATGACAAAAGCGTAGCACCATGACCGGCTGCCTGTTCTTAGTCTAGGATTTTTCATATCTCCATTCTTCCAGTAAGTGTTTTATAAAACCTAAATTTAAAATGCGTTGGGTTCTTGCCAGGCATGGTAGCGCATGCCTGTAATCCAGCTCTCGGGAGGCTGAAGCAGGAAGATCACTGTGAGTCCAAGGCCAGCCTGAATTGCACAGCGAGACCCTGTCTCAAAACAAGAAAGTTGGGTTCTATTGGTAATTATATTTGCAGAGTTAATGTTGCTCTTCATAGTTGCTACATTTCCTTAAGGCGTGGGATATCTCAGGGTCAAGGTCAGTTAAGGCTGTGTAAAGTAGAAAAGCTTTTTTTTTTGTTGTTTTTTTGAGACAGGGTCTCACTATGCAGTTCAGGCTGGCCTTGAGCTCACTTTGTAACCCACGCTGGCCTCAAACTCAAAGATCCTCCTTTCTCAGCCTCCTGAGTGCTGGGATTACAGGCGTGCACCACCACGCCCAGCTCGAAAAGCCTTTTTTGTTTTAAAAGAATGTTAGGAATACCATAACAATAAGTTATATATCTAAAATGTAAAAATGTAATTCTTTGTGTACATTGGCTGATTTTTACTTTCTTTGGGATTTGTCATTTGAATTTCAGGTGTGCATCGCCAGCTTCTGTATGTTACTTCCTTTATGTTTATTGGATATTACCTTCTAAAACGGCAAGACTATATGTATGCCATCAGGGATCATGACATGTTTGCATATATGAAATCACATCCGGAGGATTTTCCTGAGAAAGGTATTTCAAGTTAATTGTAGAAAACTACTCTGTATCATATTTGCTGGTTAATCTTATCCATGGTTTCAGGCACTTTCTATGTTTTGTGACTCCCTTTTGGGGGGCAGGGTACTGGGAATTGAGCTCCGGACCTCACGATTGCCAGGCAAGTGCCGCATCGCTGAGCTACATCCCTGACCCTTTCATTTCTCTTTAATCCCTTTCCCTCCCTTCCTCCCTCCTTCCTCCTCTACTTTCACTTTCCTCATTCTCATTCTTGTTGATATAATTGATCGTAGCTCATGTTTACAGTGTATGATGTTTTCATGCACTGACATCATCAGGTTCCTGTACAGGCACGCCCTTATTCTGCTTCCTTCCCCTCGCTCTCTCCCCTCACCCTGGGTCTCTTTGACACATTTCCACTTGCAAGAGATCCATCTCCCTGTCTCCTTCTATCCATCCTATTAATTTGTTTGTACTTCGCCGTACTCAAATAAGAGATATCATATGGTATTTAAACTTATATGTATGGTTCATTTCACTCAACATTATATTTTCCAGGTGCATCCACTAGATCAGAATCTCTTAAATTTGTATATTCAGTATTTTTATTGTTTCACTTTTTTGAGACAGAGTTTGCTGTGTAGCTTAGCCTTCTGAGTGCTGGAAGTACAGATGTGTACCACCACGCCCAGCCCCATATAGTCAGTTTTTGACTGAGTACTTCTGTATCTCTTGGACAACAAATAAAAGTCACATTCCCTCTGCCTTCCAGAGGCAGATCATTCAAATTTGCAGTCCTCCTGGCATCCATGCAAAGTGCTGGTATTCCAAGCCTGCACCACTACATCCAGCTTGGTTTTATTTCTGCTAGCAACAATCTGATCACTCCTTTTGGCTTAAAATACTATCTGTTAAACTGAGCAGAGTGGACACACCTGTAATGACAGCACTCAGGAGGCTGAAGTAGGAGGATCACTTTGAGTTCAAGACCAGCCTGAATCTCATAGCAAGATCCTGTCTCAAAAAAAACAAAACAGGGGCTGGGGATGTAGCTCAGCAGTGCACTGCCTGCCTGGCAAGCAGGAGGCCCTGAGTTCAAGTTCTGGGACCACAAAACAAAACAAAATGCTATCTGTTGCCTACAGGATAAAATCCCTATTGAGGTAATAAAATCCAGACTGAGGTAATCATTTCCCCAGGCTGAGGTACACTTGGGCCATTCCTTTTTATTTTCCACATTATACACACACGTGTCTCTCCCTGGACAGTAGCTTCCTCTTTACCTCCCCAGCCTTTAGCCCAGATCCTGCACATAGCATCGTGTACAAATAACAGATGGGAATCCTGCTCTGTCTCCCGTCAGTTGTCTGTCGGTGTTGCCGTGTGCTGGGGGGAGGGGTAGAGGAGTAAGTGGGGGTGCACAGGCCAGTGGTGCTCTTGGCCCTATTTCCACCCTGTCCATGGAGCAAATTCCTGCTTAAGATTTTATGTCACTGAAGCCTTCACCAGCTACAGACGGTAGTTCCCTCATTGTTACGTGCGTCTTCTTGCCACTGGAAGAGCAGGTACAGCACAGATGGGCACACAAGGTGGGCGCTCTTCTAGGCTGGGAATTTAAGTTACCAGGACAATTTTGTCATGATGGTGGTACTGGAAACTGCCCCTGGGGTCCTCTACTGCTGTGCTTCTCCCCCAGCTCTTTCGGGGTTTTTTTGGTTTTATTTTTGCATAGGGTGTTGTTAAATTGCCTTGGCTGACCTTGAACTTGTGACCCTGCTACCTCAGCCTCCTGAGTGCCTGGGATTATAGGCATGTACTACTGTCCCTGGCTAACTAGGAACATTTTTGTCTTCCTAGGGCCTCAGAGTGTTTGACATTCATATGGAAATGAATATAGGAAGATTTTGAACTTATATATATAAACAGGTTTTACATAGATTTTCCTGTGTAAAATGATTTTCCTGTTCATATAAATGTGTAATACAAAGCATTTCAGTTTCACTAGGCTGAGTGAATGATCCTGAAGCCTCTCTTAAGCTCTAAAATTTGATTACTCCATTACTCTATAATATTCCCATGAACTTTAGTCACATATGTGATATTTACGGTGGGTCAGGTGGGGAACATCCAAAACCACTGACTAGTTGAGCTTGGAGGACTCTTGGAAATACTGATTTGTAGAAGTGACACCAGGGCTGAGCAGTTAGTCCTCAGCACGGAGACTCCTGGATCCTTGCAGAGAACAGACATTCCCGCTTGCTGCCTCTGTCGGTAGAAGTTTGTGCCCGTGTGGGCTGTTTCTGCAAATAGTAGATCGGTGACAGTGGGCGTAGGGAGCTTACCCACAGCAGCTGCTGTCCTAGCAGACCTGAGCCCTCCCTCTTTATCCCTTTCTGCACCGCTCCAGCCAGGATAATCCTAGCTGTCTGGATGTCACCACAGTTCATGAAACAAAATGTATCAGCGAGTGCCAAGCCACAGTTGAGGATGAGAAAATAAAGAAAGGCTTAGGAGTTTCACTTAATCTATTTGAGCTGCGGTAACATAACACCTTAGAGTATGTCATTTATATCAGTTTGTTGTTTACAGTTCTGGAGGCTGGGAAGTCCAAGATCAAGGTGGCCAACGTTTTCAGGCTCTGGTGGGGCTTTTCTGCTTCATAGATGGCATCTTGCTGTGCTCTCACAGGGTGGAAGGACACACAAGCCCCCTCTAGTCTCATTTATGATACCCTCCTGTGCAACAGATGCTAACCTTGTTTATAAGGGCTTGATCCTCATGACCCAGTCACCTCCCAGGGGCTTCACTTTTGTTTTGTTTTGTAATGTGTCAGTACTGGAGACTGTACCCAGGGCTTTTGCACTGAGCTACATCCCAGCCTTTTTGTGTTTTTTTGAGACAGGGTTTCACTATGTAGTTCAGGCTGGCCTTGAACTCACTTTGTAGCCCAGGCTGACCTTGAACTCACAGTGATCCTCCTGCCTCAGTGCTGGGATTACAGGCGTGTGCCACCATGCTTAGCTTTTTTTTTTTTTTTTTTTAAATTTTGAAGCAAGGTCTCACTAAATTGTTAAATTGTCCAGGCTGAACTCAAACTTGACCTAGAGTGCCTGGGTTACTGCCATGTACTGCCACACCCAGCCAACCTTTCCTCTCTTAATGCTATATAGCACTGGGGAGTAGGTTTTAACATAAGGAATTTTGGAGGGATGCAGACATAGCAAGTCTCTTGTCAGTAAGATTGTTTGGGCCAAGGACATAGCTCAGGGGCACAGTGCCTGCCTGGCAAGCACAAGGTCCTTAGTTCGATTGCCAGTACAAGCAAATAAATAAACAAACAACTAAGGGGTCTTAAAAAAAATAGGCAAAAACTCTCAAACTAATCCCAGCACTCAGGAGGCTGAGGCAGGAGGATTGTTGTGAGTTCGAATCCAGCCTGGGCTACAAAGTGAGTTCAAGACCAGCCTGAACTACATAGTGAAACCCTTCTCAAAAAGACAAAAAAAATTTGTTCTTCATTTTTGTATTTTAGGAAAAAATATATATTGTTTTAGTTTTTGAAGCAGGGTCTTGCTTTGTAGTTCAGGCTGACTTTGAACTTACAGTTTGAACTTTGAACTTTGAACTGTATAGCCCAGGCTGACCTCAAACTCATGGCGATCTTCTTGCCTCAACCTCCTGAGTGCTGGGATTACAGTCATGTATCACCATACCCAGCTAGGAAATATAAATTTTAAAATTTATTTTGTGGTACAGGGACCTTGTGCATGCTAGGCAAGTACTCTACCCTGAGCTACAGTCCACCCTGAAGAAATGTAATTTCTTAAAGATAATCTCAAAATAAATTTTTGTGATCTTTCCTTTATAGATAAGAAAACTTACAGTGAAATTCATGAAGAATTCTATCCAGTTCGTTGAAGTCTTCAAAACACTTCATTTAATCAAGACCTGTTATTTCTGAATTTCATGGAATGTTTCCATGACCGAGGTTGATGTTAATCTCTGTGCTACAATTAAAATGATTATTATGAGTACTCTGACTCCTTTTTTATTGTAAGCAAAACAGTAAATAGCAGACAGCCAGTTTCCCTTCACCTAGTTTTAAGAAGATTTCTGAAAGATTTTTAGATGGCTTTTGGAGACTGGGATGAGGCTTGGTGTGAATGTTTCCTTAGGACACACAAGGCCCTGAGCTCAGTTCCTAATACTACAGAAAATAAATGAAATGGAACGAGTTCCAGGTTAGGTTAGGAAAACTTCAACTCTTGAGAAAAAATGTCCCATTGCCAATGAAGTTTTATTGCAACACAACTATGTTTATGTGTTGTTTCATGTTATCACAGCTTCCAAAGCCTGAAATAGTTAATGTCTGGCCCTTTACAGAAAAGGTTTGTCTGCTCCTGTCTAGTGCAGGCAGACACAAGGCCAGCCAGGGTACCAGACTAATTTTGATCCTATACATATTGAGAAGTCATGAAAGGGTTTTTAAGGAGCAACGATCAGGTCTATTTCTGAGCTCTGCGAAAATAGAGTGTGATTTAGAAGGAGACTTGAGATAGGGAGAAAGATTAAAACTGCTACTGCATAAAGGTCTGCTCTTCGATGGATCATTCTGGGGAAAGGGTTCCATAGCTAGTCTATGATGGGGCTTGGTACAATTAGAAATAAAAGACCACACCTGTGTGGAAGGAGGTTTTTTTTTTATATCCAAATGCTTTCCAAATAGCTTTTGTTTTCAAACTCACATTTCATAATCAGGTTGGTTTTTGAAGATTACTAAAATTGTATACATGATTTCAAATTGGGTGGCAGTATGAATGTAAGTAGGGGCAAAATCAAATTATCACTAGTGTGCTACTTGAAAAAAATGGAATCATGTCAGACAAGGTGCTTTAAAAATAAAGTGCCAGGCACAGTGGCACATGCCTGTCATCTCATTGTTTGGAAGGCTGAGGCAGAAGGATTGCTGTGAGTGCAAGCCTAGGCTACATAGTGAGTTCAAGGCTAGCCTTGACTACATAGGCAGGGCCTGCATCAAACATCCTCCATGCCCCTCCCTCCAGAAGAAAAATACACAAATACAAGGCATTTTTTTTTCTTAAATTGCTACTACAATAAATACGTTTATTTATAGTTAATCTGTTTAGTCAGGGTTGAGCAGGTACAGCAGGGTGAGCCACTTACTGCAATGGCCTCTGTTACTTCTTAGTTCTGTAAAACAGCAAGGACTAGAGCAGATACATAGGACAGGGTGAGAAAAAAATCAGCCTATTACAATAGCTCTCACATGCCAGGTACTTTTGATTCGTCTTGTTTCATTTCTGTAACCTTGTGAGGTAGATTCAGACTCCCGATTTGTGTGAGGGGGGATTCAGGCCCTGGTGGGTGACCGTGTCTGACATCCCATGGGATGACACCCCACAGGAGGGACGTGAACACTGGTCCTGTGCTGACATTCTGCTCATTCTGCGATCCCACACTGGACAGGTGGTGCTCGTGAACCACTGGTCACCACCCCACGTTGGTAAGGAGGGAAAGGAACTAAGCAGCGACAAACACCCTAAGGTGAGCCAGTGACGAGTCCGCAAACTGGAGCTTGCAGGGAAGTAGGGAAGCATCCTGGGCCAACTTGGCCTGCACAGCTACAGGTCCAGGCCTTTCTGCTCGCAGGGCTGACGAATCACTGTGGGTCCTCGTCCCAGAGGCTGCCTCTTGTGTGGCGTGATCTGCAGAGTGCAGAAAAATGTTAATGCCGAGGGAGTATAAATTCAAAGTACTGTCACAGGCCCATTGACATAGGAACGTGGTGAAAAAGTTGATGCTGCTGCCGCCAGGAAAGTGGCAGCACTCAACTGAGAATCACACACTATCAGCTGGGACCACTCATTTCCCCTCTGCATTTCACTCGCAGAAACAGAGGCAGAGATTGTCTAGGACAATGCAGAGCCAAGGAAAGAACCCCGGTTTGCCTGTGCGTGAGTTGGAGGTGGGGCCCAGGGCTTCTGCACTGAATACATCCCCAGCGTTGGGGGGCAGAGTTCTTTTTTTTTTTTTTTTGAAACATGGTCTCAATATATAGTTCAGTCTGGCCTTGAACTTACTGTGTAGCCCAGGCTGGCCTTGAACTTGTGTCAATTCTCTTGCCTCAGCCTCCTGGGAGCTGGAATTACAGGCAAGCGCCACCACACCTGGCTTTTTTTTTTTTTTTTTTTTTTGAGACAAGGCCTTGCTAAATCGTCCATGCAGGATAGACTTGAATTTGTGATCTTTTTGCCTCAGCCTCCCAGTTAAATTCCAGAACCACCTCTGCAAGGCAGGGTGAAGCCACAGGGGAGAGGAATGGGCTTGCGGTGGACAGTTAGACCTAGGCTGGAGAAGGGAAGGATGGCTGGGAAGCCCTGGAACAGAGCTCCGCAGGTCTGTGGATGGGTGGGGGTGTCCGTGTCCCCTCCCCCTCATGAGGGCAGCAGAGAATGGGTATCCTGCAAAGAACACTCAAGTCTGAAGTTGGGGCCAGTCATGCTTCTGTCCTCTAACTCTGTCTCGCTTTTGTCCTCTAACTGTCACTTTGGGCAACTCACTTCACTTTCCTGACTTTAATTTCCTTACAGTAAGCCAGGAATACAAATCTTGTCCACACATAAGCACCAGGTGGTTTGGGGATTCCAACAGCCACAGATGTGGTTTGTAACTGCTGCAGCCGGTCTGTGGGGGCAGGGCTGGCAGGTGGCACAGGGTCAAAACTGGCAGGTGCGATGGTCTAGATTCTCTTTACCCACAAGGGACCCACAGATGGCTGGGCCAGGCCCTCTTCCTACCCCTACCCTGTGCCAATACCTGCTGGTCAGGTCGCTGCTCCTTCACACTTCACAACCCCAGCCCCTCCCACACGGATGTATGGGCTCAGACCCCAGCACACAGGCATACGTCACGCAGCAGCGCACACCTGTGTGCTTAGCACGGCTTCACGCGCCAAGACAGTGATCCTTCAGATTTCTGTTTGGCTGGTTGCCACTCTGCCTATTGCAGGAATGCTGTGGGAAGCCTCACATACGTACCCCCATGTGCCATATAAATATAGTTGAAATTTTTTTTGTACTGGGAATCAATCTCAGGATCATGTACCTGCCAGGCAGGTGCTGAGCCGAGCTATATCCCCAGATGTGCCATATAAATATAATTTGCCGCTGGGCATGGTGATGCACAGCTGTAATCCCAAAATTTGGGAGGCTGAGGCAGGAAGATGGTGAGTACTAGGTTAGCCTGGGGCTACACAGCAAGTTCAAGGCCAGCCTAGACTACAAAGCAAGACCCTGTCTCAAAAACAAAAAGGAACAAGGGGCTGGGGATTTAGCTCAGTGGCACAGCGCCTGCCTGGCAAGCACAAGGTTGTAAGTTTGATTCCTGGTACCTGAAGAAAAAAATAAAAAACAAAAAGGAACAAACAAGAAAACAAAATATTATGAGCAAAAAGGTAATTTTCCATGACTTGAAAAAGTGAAAAGCATGCCATGCTCACATGGGATTCACAGTGCATACCTAAGTAACTACATCTTCATATGTAGCACGGAAATAATAAACTCATCTTTGTAGAATTACGGTGAGGTTTTGTTTCCAGTGCTAAGGAGCTTTGCACTAAGCTCCATCCCCATCCCTTTTGTCTTTTCTTTTGAGACAGGGTCAAAAAGTCACTAAACTGCCCGGACTGGGTTCAAACTGCTGATCCTCTTGCCTCCACTTCTCAGGGTGCTGAGATTACAGGTGTGCACCATCACATCTGGCTATTGTGAGAATTCTGTGTCAAGCACTTAGAAGCTGTGCTGACATTCAATGTGTACTCAAAGCTCCTAGCACATGACAGTGGAAGGTTCATTTAGGAGTCAGACGGGCTTTGTGGATGGTATCTCCCCTGAAGCTAATGTAGTTGTGTGTCTATGAACCTGAACTGCAGGGTCCATAGCTGTAATCAGGGTTTTGTTTTTGTTTTTGTTTTTGTTTTGAGACAGGGTCTCACTATGTAGTCCTAGGTAGGCCTTGAACTTACTATGTAGCCCAGGCTGGCCTCAAACCTCAAGGCGATCCTCCTGCCTCAGCATCTCGAGTGCCGGGATTACAGCATCTGGCACCTTGCCTTGCCTCCCACCATTACTCACCAATACTGGGTCGGAAGGGTCAGAAGGCAGGCCCAGTACTGTCCAAGAGCTAAACTGTCACTCTCCCACCAGGTTCCCAGGGAATGTCCCTCCATGGACTCTGACCCACGAGCATGGCCACCATTACCTTCCTCAGAGCTGGAGGCCTTACAGGACCTGTCCTGTCATTTCCTGGTACTTCCTCGTCACCTCCTGGGCTTTCAGAGTGAGGTGGGTGAGGATATGGTGCAGGCTGGAGAAGTGCAGATGGAACTGGGCTTCCAGGTCCACCTCTCTGGAGCTCCTCTCTTCCTCAGCCTCCACGGCGACAGCTTCCTCGTTCTCGGCTTTGTCGGCCTGGCGGCCTGCCACCTTGGCCTGCCACTCTTCCCTCGGCAGCAGCCCGTGGTCCACTTCCACACGGATGGCCTTGAGCATGGTGAAGTAGGTGTAGAGATCGGGGGCCTCGGCCTGCTCCCCAGGCCCGATCAGCTGCACGTCCCGCAGGAGGCTGGGGATCATCACCACCTGCTCCATGTTGTGTACCACGGCTGAGTACCGGTCCATGACGGTCAGCAGGCAGTTCTTGGGGTAGCGCTTGTTGAGCACCTGCATGGCTGCCTCCTCTTGCACACTGAGCCGGCCAGGCTGCCCCAGCACTATTTCTAGGCTTTGGCTCAGACGGCAGATTGAAAGGATGCCAAGACCCAGCCGCTGGGTTGACACAGCTCTAAGCCAATTCCAGAGTCTGGGCCCTGACGTCCGTATCTGGTGATCCGTCTGCCCAGGGACAGACCTGCCAACCTTCTGGGGGTCATTTCAGTTCCACGCCCTGCCTCAGCAAGGGCCCAGCTCTTCCTGCAGCTGCTTGCAATGCCAGTTCGAGGGAAGCTTTTCCCTTTGGCAGCTGGTGCACTTGACCCTAGGACGATCGGTCATTCTATTGGGTTACCTGAGGTCAAGCTGCTGCTTGCTGCCTGCTTGGGGTGGCCTCCTAAAGCACACCACCCACTTCTTCAACCTGGCCTCAGTTGTAAAATGGACAAGGGAAGAGGGCCACAGAATCAAACAGCCTGGTGTGGGGCAAAGAGCATGGATGCTGGAGCCAAAGCCCAGTGAGAAGAAAGTGTTGGACCATGCTCATGTCCTGGAGGTCTTCTACGTGGGGGGTGCTTTTCTACCCCATGCTTTATTTCAAACAAAACTCTTAGCAGATGCATGAGCCCAGTATCACTCCAGTCAGTCAGCAGGGTAAAGTATTTGCATAAAATAACACACTCATAACAATCATAAGGCAGGAGGATCGTTGCGAGTTTGAGACCAGCCTGGGCTACAAAGTGAGCTCGAGGCCAGCCTGAACTGCATAGTGAGACCCTGTCCCAAAAAGACAAAGAAAAAAAGAAAGTTCAAGGCCAGCCTACACTACA